AGAAAAGGCCTCCCGAATACGCGACCTCATGCCAGCAGAAACGAAATCGATATTAATGAGGATAAAGGCACAGAAATCTCTGCAAATAGTCCAAAGGTAACCAGACATGGGAACGTAGGCCTCTTTACTGGAGAAGCTAGAGATGAGGAGGATGGAGAAATCTGTTACGAAAATATTGATGTTGCTGTGAAAATACTAAATGAGTTTGGTGGTTCAAGTGACCTGCACGCTCTGTTGGACGAGGCCAAAGTAAGTGTAAATTTTTTATTTACATGAATTACATATGCTGTATATGATGTAAAATACGGATTCTAAAAGACTGTTAGTTGAATTTCCCTCAAGTGTGGTCTATTTAAAAAATTTTATTTTTTAATATTTACCTATGTGCTACAAGCCCATTAAGCGCCTGCTTAACGACATTTGTTGTGATCTTTTGATCGAACGTTAAACGGAAATAAAATATTTTTATTTGCTTTGAGCTATAAGCATATAAGTTATCATTATTATGCACTATTATTTATTTGTTTATTCTTGTTAATTATTATTTCGTCTCGTAACAGGTAATGGTATCAGTTTCGCATCGGCATTGCCTTCGTCTACTGGGTGTCTGTCTATCCGGGACGCGAAGATGTCTTGTATCAGCCTATGTAGAGAATGGGAGTCTGGACCGTTATCTCAGTACTCATGGCTCTCGTATTCAAGCCCAACTTCTGCTGATTTGGGCTAGCCAGATTGCAGATGGAATGGCCTACCTTCAATCTCGTGGAATAATACACAGGCAAGAGCTATGATAGCATTTGATCTTGCAATTCGGGTGAATTGAGGGTGTTGAATTTTATTCCTAAGTATTCTTTCAGACTACCCTAATTAGATACTCATGATTGCACCAGTTTACATGACATGTTCGCCATAATGCCGCCGAATAGATCCTAGAGCATTGTATCAGTTTTTTCATTTTTTTTCATGAAATCATCATTCGGGCTAGCTTTAGCTCAGAGTAGTTGGCAGCTACATTATTTTATTTCAGCATTATTCACCATTTAGATTCTTAAGAATTATGAAAAGTATTAAATACATGTTCATGCGCTTTCATATAACAAGTATACTCTTATAATTCTTCGATGAACATACCCAAGCTGAGATATTGGTCGGAATATTAGGTTTTTAATTCCTCTTAGATTTATATTAAATCATAGGCGCTCTTTTCGGTAAAAATTCCCAACTTTTATGCACTACAAAAAATAAACCCCTTATTAATAAAGCGAATATTGTTAGAAATAGGATTCCTCAAATATTTTATCCGATATTTTTAGCTAACTTGTTCAGAAAACTAGGAATCGTGATCCGGCTGACGATGGAAAGACAATCATTGAAAGGCGGCGCAAAATTAAAAGGTCTGTACTCCGTGGATCACAGTGGAGAGGAGAAAAATAAAGAATAAAACGTGACCAATATAAACAGGATGTTAGCTAGATCGTAGATATGAAGGCCAAGACGGTGTGGCCATCTGTTTGGTCGCAGTCTTCTTTAGCTTTATAGTGTTGGTTCGACCTTGTTTTCGCAACTTGGTCTGAGCCTCAGGGAGACCTTGTGGAACGTACATAGTCTCGTGTCCTCTGTCATAGTATTTGCGATTTCCATCAATTGGCCATTGGCTGATTACATTCCCAAACGCAGTAGTCGGTAAAGTCAGTGAGAGGTGCCATCGTAACCACAGAGTTACAACTTATCAAAGGCCAATTGACCTATTTTCCATTCGACCGTTATAGCATCATTCCCCGCCCCTATTTTTTTGTACCTTTAAGGATGTTAGGTACTTGATATACCCTTACATGGTTTTCCATGTCAACTTCTGATTTGACGATGTGGTTCAAAGCTCTAATTAGTAGACGCCTAATACGCAGTGAAGTTTAGTCACTAACTCACGTGATCTCCGCTTCCAAGGATGTTAAATCATTGCTACGTATGGGATGTAACAAAACTAAATATTGGATGGGAAAAGTGTGGGGATAGTTCACTACAAGCTCAATCTATTTTCAATTGCTACGTTAAAGGATTTCGTCTTGGCTTTTTCAAACTGAAAAACATAATGAAGTTGTTTGATTTTGTTTTCGCAACTTGGCCTTATTGGTAGGAAGACTTAGAGTAATGCACCTAATCCAGAGTCCATTGCAAGCATGATAATTTCCAGAGTCGGACAGTTGACGTGGTAAATTTCCAGACGCTTCGGCGGCATCGTCGGTGAACATTGCCAGTCTTAGCACCGCACTACAACTCGTCAAGGAGATAAGTGATGCTGATCCTTTGACCAATTGTGATATCTCTCATTTCGCCCTGGGATAGTCACCAATCCTATATCCTCATATCACTATCACAGTTTTTACTTGCTTATTTAAATGTGGTATTGTGTGCTCTTTTGAGCGGATTTCATGGGAACTCTCCACAAGCCATGTTGCCTTCCTCATCCCTTCACCCCGCTTCACCCTTTTGCTGATGATATTGATCAGAATCTTCCCTATTGTTACTCGATCCTCCTTCCATAGGTCTTATCAATTCACAACTTGCTTTGATTAGGTTAAATGTAGAACCACAACATTTATGGGTTGGCACACAAGAGAATATGACATAGTAAGTCATAGACTTGGTATTAGAGATAGAAAGAATGTATATGCAGCGGAGGCTAGAGCGAATTGGCTGACAGTAAGCCTGTTTTACTATAGACGCTTTTCCATGTAGCAAACGCTTAACCATCAGACTTAATCATGAGCCTTAGCCTCGAGTTAGTCTTCCAGGAGCAGAATGTTTAAGATAACGCCGTGAGTAACACAGATGGGGTGACAGGGGTCGAATGAAATAATTGAACTAGGGAGATAGCAAACGGATGCTATGGGGCAAGAGGGCGAATCTGATAAGACCAATGAAAGGAGGACTGAGGTATAAGGGTGAAGCGAGGCGAGTGGATGATAAAGACAGTGTGAAATCCGCTAAATAATAAAGTAAAAATTGTGATAGTTAAAGCGTGATACGAGGATATAGGATTGGTGATTAGCCCAGGGCGGAATGAGAGATACCACGATTGTTTAGCAGACAATTGATCAAAGGATCGGCATCACTTGTCTCCTTGACGAGTTGTAGTGTGGTACTAAGACTGGCAATGTTTACTGACGATGCCGACTACGATGCGCCGAAACGTCTGGGAATGTATCACGTCCACTGTCCGACTCTGGAAATTATCATGCATACAGAGGACTCCGGGCTAGGTGCGTTACTCTAAGTCTTCCTACCAATAATACCAAGTTGCGAAAACAAAGTCAAACAACTTCGATACAACAAATGGAGACTGCGATTACACAAAAGGCCACACTATCTTGGTCTTCATAGTAGTAAAATATTATTGGTCACTTTGAATAACTGTGTACTCTTGAATTCCAAAATATCGCTTAGGGATTTGTTTTTGAATATTTCCATATATTTATTTTGGACATGGTATCTTGAGTTTAACAAATGTTTAGAATTTACAAAAAGTCATCAAATTAGTTTATTCTTACGGAATCTTACAAGCTAATCAAATTTCCAAGTGTTTTACACTCTATTCGGCTAAATAAGTGAATTTATTGTGTGGACCCAATACGCTTCAATAAAAATGAAACTTGAGTCGAAAATCTTTAAGTTTTGAACAGATGCTGCAATGACGCGATTTGGAAAAAAACTCCACGGCTGCAATTTCAAAGGAAAATAGACTTTTATTTACGAAGTTTTTATTACCCCAATTATTACCCTAATCGTTGAAATATTCCGTTTTTGTGAATATTCTATTTATTTTTGGCCTCCTTCTGGCATCTTCCTCGATTCGGGCTGAAGCTGGTTGTTTCACTTATACTGAGCCTTATGCAATTATTTAATCTTGCTATTTCTATTTATAGGGATCTGGCCACTAGAAACGTTTTGGTGACGGCACCTGATCTCCTCCAGCTCACCGACTTTGGTCTTGCCAAGATGCTCGAAGGAGACGAGGAGCATGGCGAAGTTGTAGTGCGATCTGGCCGCGTGCCTATTCGTTGGTCCGCCATCGAGACATTGACACAGTTGAAATACTCATTTAAGACAGACATCTGGGCTTATGGTGAGTTACTTAAATAAAATACCCCCTAGTGCATCTGATTATCGCTTCCTGTAAATATGATGCATCTGTTGTATCTTAATACGACTGGTTTTTAAGTGCAATAAGTTCTCTTTGCCCTAAGGTGTTATGATGCCTTTTCTTGCTATCTAAGAAGTTAATGATGCATCTTTATTCGTTTCAAATAATGATGCATTACAAACCAACTAGTTAGCATACTTGTGAGGAAGACGAAAAGGATTTAGGCTTAGGCATCTGCCGAGTGAAAAGTTGGTTCTATGGGGTCAAATGATGTTCCATTTTGCTCATGGTGAGTCTCAAGTATCTTGTCATCTACTGACTTAAGCTAAATAATGACATTAAGTGAAAATGTGTGATGAGGTCAATCCTACGAGGTGTCGGAAGATGGTTCTTGGTTAGCTATTGATTAGATTTACTTCGATTTTATTTTTGATGATGTATACATGGCAATTTCATTCGATACCGGAGAAAATATTTTAAGTTTCTGTCTATCATATGATGCACATCATAAGAGCAGTGTATTATTTGTAATTGTTGGGATTACTTCCATTTCGAGTAGAAGTGTTGGGTGAAGAGATTCGAAGGTCGGTTCCAC